GATTTGAGTTACGCTGAGCGCGTGCGGATGCTGACTGAACGCTGAGCTGCGTTGCTTTTTGGACGTAAGTCTGTATGTGAATTGTATTTTGTGCGTAAATCGGATCAGACGGAAGTGGAGGCTCCGCCCACTTCTGACTGTAATATGCCGTTTCCCCTTCACCGAGCTCATCATAAATTACACTTTTACGAGTTTAAACTTGTCAGCCTGCTTTTGGGCTTTAGATAACACTTTAATACAGTGCAGGAAGGAGATTAGATGCGTGTTATGTTTAATACTTCCTTCTCCGTACTGCAGAAAAAAACATCACACTGCCATCCTGTGTGGGATTTGTTCATAGATAGGGTTTATTTTAACAAATACGTGATGTGCCGCCATGCTAGAGATAAATTGATATTTTTAACAAAAAACAGTAGAATTTTAATGGAAAACAACAGCTGTTTTTGAGCGCTTGTTAGACGTCACGCGTAGGAACTACACTTCCCATGAGGCAGTAGCGGAAGTCGAGTCCTTTAAAGGGGAAGTAGACGGGTTGTTTGTTAGCAACTGTCGCTGTGGTCGGTGTGTGATGCTTTTAAATCGGTGAGATCATGTTTGAGCTAAAATATTTGTATTTAATAAAGGTTTGAAGTCTACTTCAACATTTTAACAGTGTTTGCTATGAATTATTGGATTTGTAGTTTCGAAACGCTGCGTTGACCTTTTCAAAAAGTCCTGTTTGAACACGTATCAGGTCGTAACGTTAATTCTTGTGGGACATGGTCATGTTATAAACTTTAAACGTTAAATTAAATAATAATTACGGGTTCTGTATGCATTAGTACTATACATACGTTGATGCATGTTTAAAATAAACATTCTGAAGCCATTGCTTGTTTGTTAAGAACTAAGAATGACAGTAATTCATGTTGAGATATCACTATGCCATCTTCTTCTAATGTTTGTTGTATTATCTGTTTGTTTTCTTTTTCCATTTGAGAATTAAGGGATAACGTTCCAGCAATGCTGTTGTTGTATTCTCTTTAACAATAAAATAACGTTTCCAGAATGTTGCTGAAAGGTTTGCTTTCTTTGTTGACCAATATGTTGTTTAAAGTGTTGCATAAAAATAGATTGTTTTTATGCAGTGAAGTACAATAAATACCATAGGGATTATCTATTCTATAATGTTGTATATATATATATATATATATATATATATATATATATATATATATATATATATATATATATATATATGTTTAATTATATTCATGATTCCATTTATGTAATTCATATTCTATTCTATATTGTATTCTAGAATGTAAATTATATACAATATTAATATATATATATATATATATATATATATATATATATATTATAATATTGTATATAATTTAGACATTATATATATTATAATTATATACATTATATATGTATGCATGTATGTGTATGCATGTGTGTGTATATTGCTTTGTCCTTTATTCTTTCATCTTTAATCTTATGATTATTTACGTAGTGTTATAATAATAAACTCTAGCCTAAACGATAAAGTACGGACCCGCTTTAAGTATTTTTTCATTGTTGTAAGCCTTTTCTTTCCATATATGCTGAATGTTTATCATGACAATAATATTGTATTCCAAGCAGCTCCTTAAAGATGTTTTTTAGTAATGAAGTAATCAGCTACTATCCATATCTGTAGTATTTCTCATGCTATATTTCTGTGTGATTTATTTGGTTTCAGACTAAAGGATGTTTTCTCGTGCTGATGAAACTGCTGCTGATATTCCTGTTAGAGACACAAATGGAGCTGCATTACCAGGTCAGCTTTTCAGTCAATATTAGTATAATTCTTCAAATATATATATATATATGTGTGTGTGTGTGTGTGTGTGTGTGTGTGTGTGTGTGTGTATATATATATATATATATATATATATATATATATATATATATATATATATATTAGGGATGGGAAGATTAATCGATATGTATCGATACGCGGTCATGCGCGTGCACGATGCGAGTGCATCGGTTGAGCAGCAGAGGATGAATGAAATTTTGGAAGCAAATCGAGATGCATCGGTTTTTGCGAGATGCATCGGTTTTTTCGAGATACAGCTTATTTTTTAATATAGAATGTATTTTTTATTTATTAACAAGTGTTGTCAACCTGTTTTTGGCGCATAATTTAATCGACCTACATAAAGTAAGCCTTAGCAACGGATTAGCGGATGTGTACACTTACTCTACAACTCAGTGTATCAGGTGTGCGGATGAAGCTAGTGGTGCGCCCTCAGAAAGCGCGAGAAGCAAAACAAACATTTTATTCCTCACTGAGTTCTAAATCTAAAGTATGGCAACATACTTTAAGGATGGACGACTTGACAGGACAGATGCAATTTGCAAAATGTGCCGCGCATCTATAAAATATGCGGGCAGTATGAGTAATCTGATATCTCACTTGAAGCGGCGCCACGGTGTTGTTGTGAAAGCATCTTCCAGTGTTCCTGCATCCCCGGCTTTCGCACTGCTTCAACTGTAGCTACCAGCTTCAAAAGTGGTGAGAAAAGCATTGCAAGTTTTTTTTCCATGCGCAAAAGTTTTGTGCGCTCTATGCCAATAACGGATGTTACTGCATTGTTCATCTGCAGGGCCGGAGCAAGCTGAACTGCTGCTCTAGGCAGATGACGATCACGCCGCCCTCAACCCCAATGTGAAAACGAAAGTGACCGGTTATGAAAATGAAGTGACGTGTCGCGGACCTCTATTCTGCCGCCTTATGCGCGGATATAACTGAGGACGCGCGGGTGTCGCGGACCTCTATTCTGCCGCCCTATGCGCGGATATAACTGAGGACGCGCGGGGGTCGCGGACCTCTATTCTGCCGCCCTATGCGCGGATATAACTGAGGACGCGCGGGTGTCGCGGACCTCTATTCTGCCGCCCTATGCGCGGATATAACTGAGGACGCGCGGGGGTCGCGGACCTCTATTCTGCCGCCCTATGCGCGGATATAACTGAGGACGCGCGGGGGTCGCGGACCTCTATTCTGCCACCCTATGCGCGGATATAACTGGGTGTTGCGGACGCCGCCCTCTCTATACTGCCGCACTAGGCGGTTTTAAACACCTCCTCCTGTTAATTTTTATTTAATTATAATAATAATAATAATATTAATAATAATAATGATAAAAATAATGGGTGTCGGTGGCACAGTGGGTAGTTTGACCACCTCACAGCAAGAAGATTGCTGGTTTGTTATATTTTTATTAGCCTGTTGTTTACAGTGACAGTGATGTTTCAACGCAGCATAACACTGCTAGTTCACCACCTTAAGTTTTGAATAATCAGTGGCAAAATAAATCTTTGTAAAACTTGTTTTCATAGTTGAAAAGTTAAATCACAATTCTTGTTGTGCAATGCTCAACCTTTATGTTGAAAGAGTGCAAATATATATATTTTAATATATATTGCACTTATACATTCTGTTTATCTTGAAAATACTTAAATAATATGTGCTATATGTTCTAAAATGGCCCTCTACTGTAAACTGACACTCTGGCTCTGAGAGAAAAGCCAGTTTGTAAAAAAAGTCTTGGTTTTGCTTGGTTAATAAATAATCAAACTCATTCAATGGCACAGCATCCTCTTTTACATAATCTCATAAACTTGATTTAATTAGTTAGTGCTGAATTATCGCATCGTATCGTGATATGGGTGTGAATTGTATCGTGTCGCATCGCAATATGTCATAAATGTATCGCTAATATATCGGATCGTATTCTTTGTATCGAGATACGTATCGGATCGGCATTATAGCTTAGATGCCCAACCCTAATATATATATATATATATATATATATATATATATATATATATATATATATATATATATATATATATATATATATATATATATATATAGGGATTTACAAGGACTAGATGTAGGAACTTTAATTTATTAGTCATTAAAGGGGACCTATTATGCAAAAATTCCTTCTACAAGGGGTTTAAACACAGCTGTGTGCTAGCAGTGTGTGAATATAAGCAGCTTCTAATGCTAAAGATGTATTAATTGTATTGTTTATAATCAGACTTGATATAAGCAGTCTGCAGAAACACTTTGATTGACATTCTCTCTTTGTATGATGTCATCAGAGGGGGAAAGCCCCGCCCACTAGTGACCATCTTACCCTCATTAGCATAGGACATTAGTCTTTTTTTGAATCTGACACTATGCTGACACACAGGCATCTGTAGCTCCTCCCTCTTCTGTAAAAGGCACAATCTCATTTGCATTTAAAGCGACAGTCACTAAAACGCCACAGTTAGGATCAAAGCCTAATTTCAGAGAGTTATAATCATTATTTGTGTTGTATTTTGAGCTGAAACTTCACACACACACACACTCTAGGGACATCAGAGACTTATTTAACATCTTGTAAATATGGGAATTGTAGGCCACCTTCAATGTGAGGGATGTTTTTGATTGCAATTTGAAAGAGTTAAATTATCGATTTACATTGAATCCACACATGTCAATACTTTGATGTCAGGTTGATTGATTTATTCAAACCAGTTCTGTAATGTCAGTTTTGAAGTCTTTTCAACACCAAATGTGCTCTGCTTAGACCACACTGACTGCTGCATTATTAAAATGTGCATTATAATAAGAGTAAAGGCTGGTTTAATTAAACTGTGCTGCTGTTTTCAGACTCCCTGCTGTCTCAGAACATCAGAGAGAGGCAGAACGTGTCCAAGTTGAGCCGGGAGGAGCTGGAGGACAAATACCTGCGGCTGCAGGATGAAAACCTCACGCTTAAACAACACACATGCAAACAAGAAGACAAGATCCGCAGGTTTGAGCGCTCATTAGATTATAAACACACTGTTAATTCACAGGATCAGTGGATAGTTTATGAAATCCAGCTCGCAATACATTTTCTAAGAAATAATTGTGATGCAGATTGTTTGTTTGGGGGCC